AACTATTTTAAACTTGTATCAAGAATTCCAAACCTTTCATATTTATTCTTATAATTCAATTCACTATTGCTCTTGATATAGTTACCATAAGAAATAGACAATAATCCCACTACCATACACTGACTTTCTCAAATTACTAGAGCCAGAGAGAACCGCATTAGAAGTAATTTTCACAACAACCCAACAAAGCACGAAAAAACATGACTTATGTGTTAATAAATAGGCATAGATTCTCTCTTTCATGTATCAAAAGACACAGGCTACACTTACATGTTCTCTGAGCAAGGATCGCAAACCACATGTGGACCGTGATAGGTAAGCATTGCAGGAATGCCTCTTTTTCCCCAAAAATTTGCCACCAAGAAACAAAACCACAAACTGCATAGTACAAACTGCAGATTTTGCAAAAGATCAATAAGTTCACATATATGTAAAATAAATTACATTGTATTATAGAAAGAGTCCAAATTGCATATCTATGTCAAAGAAGGTACTGTTATCTTCTGGCGCATATATCACTCGACTTAATATGCATCATATCATATGGTGTTGACATCCATTTTACATCGCATAATTCAAGACTTTCTACTGCACAGAGAACTCAAAGACTTTCTAATGCACATAGCTTTTGAAGACAAGTACTATTTAGCAAAACTGCTCAAGATATCTTATTAAATCTACAACTATTGTTGATGATGCCTCACCTATAACACCATCATATGAAAGTTAGTTCCTCAGAAGCTGCATGAAGTTAAACAATAAAGAAAACCGAGAATTATCACATGGAGAAACCAACCAAGGGAAGCCGATTAGACCCAAAAGGAGTTTCATATAGTTGAATTGAATGAAGCACTCAAATCCACATCAGGAAACTATACAGCTTACAAATTATGAAGATTATGGTTTGACTGATTCAATTTAACAAAGATCAAACAGCAAAGGTTTCATCAGATACCCTGAACTTATCTATCTGTAAAGCCGATGACACCAATTTGAAGAAATATAATGACTTTTCCTTAAAAATAAAGACCAAGCTCCCCAGACCACTGCTAATTGCATTTTTTAGATGCATGCAAGATGTTTTAATTAGTGTCCTCCAATTGGCATGTTTTATCTAGGTGCTTAGCAAATACAGAAAACCGAGTTCACTTATAAATAGCCAAAGTATGGCATTCATTGATATAGATTTGGGTTGTGATCAGACTACATAACATATGAGGACTATATTGATGCTTATCCTGAGATAAGAGAGAAACAAGTTAAAAGAGAAACTGCATCAGAAAGAGGTTTTTAACATCAAATTTCCATTTTCCACAGTGGTCACGGAGTTGTCATTCTTAATAACTATGATGCACATGTTTGTGAACAGTATCACCAAATGGTCTTCAGTCTAGGATCAAGCAAAACCAATTTGCAAACAAAACAATGCTTAACTTGTCCCAAAAACAAACAGAACTACTTCAGATAAACTAGAAACACCTCTGAAAATAAAGATAAAAATGTGATCTCATAACCATCCCAATTCTTCTTTTTTGTCAAATAAAATCAAGGATTCTCTGTAAGATGAACCTACATTTTTTTCTCATAAATCTACACTCACATTACGAAACAAAACAAAAAATATTTGTAACAAATTTCTAAACCCTAGATGCTCAGACAATTTATTAAGTTTGATGAGTGCTCTCAATTGGCCTCAAATTTCAACAAAGGCCTCAAATCTCAATTAGCATATCAATTTTCTCCATAATACAGAAAGACAATATAACTAAAAAGATAACAAGGAAGTCAGAAGGAAATTAATAGGATAGACATGATATAAAATTGCAGTAGTTCATCAGGTATTCAAAGAAATAAAATATTGTATGTCAAGTATAGATAGATATTCATATTTTGTCACAACCAGCCTAATATGACGACTAACTCATTAATTTAATTGAGTTTAAACCACTGGTCCAAAATAAAGCACTTATAAGTCAATCCAAATCTTTTACCAACTTCCAATAGGATTAATTCAAGTTATCACACTCTCCTATACTAAGGCGGGATGTACTTGTAAAGCACTAACATAGTCCGATCAAACTCTATCATGGTCAACGTAAGCCTAGTCCAATGGTGACTCTACGTCATGAGATGCCTGTCATGAAAAGCCCTCTATCCCTTTTCCTTCTCGAGCATCTCATCAATGACCAATATCAGGTTGGCTTTGATATAATTTGTCACGACCCAAATCAATAAGATAACCGACTCATTAACTTCGTTGAGCTTAAACCAATAGCCCAAAAAAATTAAACTCGTCAATATTATTAATACACTCATCATGCCCTTACGAGTCAATGCAAATCTTCCCTTCACATCTTATGGGACTAAATCAGATTGTTTGATTTTGTATCATAAATCTTAGTGAGTTAAGAGATATGGATCATGCTAAAAATTAACTAGCTAACATGCAACTCAAATTTATTTTACAAGAAATAAGTTAATTGTTGTTAAATAATGCTCAATAAATGTATAGGAATGCAACGATAATCTGCAAGGAAAAAAATGCTATCACCATGTTTAATCAAACAATATATGATGCTCAATAAGAATGACATTGAGCATCAATTCCAAAATCAACTACTCATCTTGTCCATCATCAAAATATCAACATTCAAAGAAAAAAAAATCCCCCCAAGAAACACCTGCAAATTTTCCAACTTCTCCTGAAGTATATGACCTTAATAATTTTATAAAAAAATGGATTTCCCAAGATTGGCATATATCTGATAGTCAAAAAAATGGTAGAAATAGGTTGGTC